GATAGTTCACTTATAGCTACTGTTGCAAGACCTGTCTATCCTAACATGGTACATATGCACTTTACAATGATAAAAGTCACAGATGTGAAATTCTTGGTAATTTTCTAAACAGCGGGGCCCTGATTCATACACACATAAACAATAGCAGCCTTTTCATTTTTAGTCAAAAACCACAGATATTGTCAGATGAAATATTTTTTTCTTTTTGCTAGCTAATGTAAGCTGACACTTTTAATCAGTTAGATAAAAAGTATCCAGCTGATATTTTAATGTTTCCTACTGGTTCAATTTAAAGTGATTATGGCTGACTGAGGCTAATGCTACATGTTCAGGGACAAAATGCAGAAGAGGCCTAGTATCATAGTACAATATTACAATGCTCAGAATATGTGCTCACAGTACTTGGACAGGCAACCAAGACCTTAGAGTTATGATTCCGTGTTGGTATTGTCAGATATGCTTTAATTGTTGGCTACAAGAGAAAAGGAGAGAAAAGGATTTAGCTAAATATCTGACTTTCTGGAAAGTAAACCAAGTAAAGAGCAGGAAACTACTACCGTTATGCTTGGAAATAGGTTTCTACTGTAGACCACATACTAAACTAGTTAGCAGGTCATGCTAATGTTTATATATAATATTAAAGCAGAGAAACAAACTGTTTAATCTATTCCTTACACGTTTGCTCTGATTTTTGGTTTTGGAAAGGCTAAAAAAAAAAAAGGCACCATTCTACAAACGCCTGAGATATGAAGCATCTCTTTCATTAGAGTCCCATGTCATTTGTAGAGAAACCCAAAGCTTGACAGGTCTGCCAAGAGTTATGGTTACTAAGCTATGATTGCACAATTTCTGTTTTGAGTTAAGCAACGATCAATTCCAGCTCTCAAGTGCTACTTCTGCTGCTCTCCCATCCTACCAGCTGGTATACGACACTAACCTCTGTATCTTAGGTCTAAATCAGACAAACCTTTAGGGACATGACTTCTTCTGACAGTAGATTTAAGGACAGCAGTATTTACCCCAGCTCTCTGAGATGTTTACTCACCTTAGGGGCAAAGGCTTGTATATACCATTTTACAAGTTCCATTATACTCAGTTTTATAATAATCATCATTCTTATTTATTTATGTTTATTTTTTATAAATTTGATCTAAACAGGGTGGCACTCAGAGCGAGTTAGTACAACAACAAATTTTCCAACAAACAGGACAAGATTTCCACTACGCCACTGATTTCTTTTAACAGTTTTCTCTCAAATACACTTGACTTCAGGAGTGGTCAGCCTATTTTGAGCTCCTTCCACTTTGTTTGAATACGGACTGACACTGTTTCGTCCATAACAGCTAAATGTTGGATAAATGCTAAATAATGTTTTTTTTTTTGGAAAATCTGTGGTTCATTCATCCAGTAACCACTCTAAAAGATTGTGTTAATTATGATTGTCAAATTGGTTTACTTTGACAATAAAATAAAGCCTCAGTCTTCCTTAATTAACTCCTCTGATTTGCCCATAGGGAAAAAGGAACCAACAGTGTGCAGGGTGATGGGAATAGTGGGGGACTTACACTGGAGAAAAAAATACGGTACTTCTAAAGTTTTAGACACTTAAGATTCTTATCCATCATACAACACACTCAGGATGGCATCTGATCAAATTCACTCTGCAGCATGACAAGCCCAAACATACAGCTAGAGTCATAAAGAACTATCTTCAGCTACATGAAGAACAAGGAGTGCTGCAACAGATGGTCTGGAGCCCACAGTGCCTCCCTGCATGTAAAGTCCAGCACAGTCAATAGCTCCATCTGATGTCTGTGTGGAGACTAACCCAAGCACAATTTACTTTAAACCCGGCTAAATTGAATTAGGAAACTGGTTGCCGTAAACAATAAGCATATTACATGGAAAACTTTAGTTAATTTAACTTAAAACCATAAAACCTTACAGAAAAAGAAACAGAGTTAGTTAGTTAATGCTGCACCGTACACCAAAAAATATCTTCATCTGTTTATACTGAAAAGAACCATACAACTGCACTGAGTAATTATTAAAAAAGACATCACCAGTCTTAAAACTTATCTTATAACCCTAACCCAACCAGTTAGTCTCAAATACTGTAAATTGTTGCTAATAAGCATAAAAGACTCTCTCTCACACACACACACACACACACACACACACATACAGACTGATTGATTGTTAGTATTCTGTCCGTGACCACTTTTTAGATTATTTTATCTTCTGACTTCAACACACAGCGTCGGCCACTGAGTCGCCACTTTGGACATCAACTCATTAATTTCTTTCTTTTTTCTTTCTCTTTCAATCAACCCTCCCCTCCACACACACACACACACACACACACACACACACACACATATATATAATACACTTTTCTGTATCTTCTTGATGATCAGAGGTGTATTGATTCAGCTTGGTTGAGCGCTCCTCTGGGCCACAACAACCACACATATATAAGTTGCATTTCTATTACCTATTACCGGACGAAATCGGTGACTGACACCACTCTGATATGATCTCAGCGCACTTGCCCACAGAGAGGAGACTTGATATAGAAAGGCAGGAGATGCATGCAAACCGCTTGAAGCCAGAATGACTCATCTGAGCAAGAGAGAGATAGAGAGCGGGGAGAAAGAACAGGGCTGTCGAGAGAAAAAAGAAGTCATTGCTGTCTGATTCTCTCAGAAATATTTGAAAAGCTGGCAAATAGGGGACTGAAACAGAAATTAAAACAATAACAAAATCATGAAATGCAAAGGAGAATAATTATTTTCCAAGATTTTGCAATACAGAATTACAAACAAAGTAATAGAGCCTGAAGATACAGGGTATTAAGCATGCACTGTATCATATATTCTCTGTGTACAACCACAATATGTGTGTAGATGATTATTTTTCATTGTCATTACTGGCATACACACACTTTATCCTGACTTACAAAAAAAACCACAACACAATCTCCCAGTCTTTTTTTGCTCTGCATTGTAGAAGCTGCATGTGTGTTCCTGCAGTATGTGTTTATTTAGCTGATGGAGTTATTATAGTCCCGTCCATAGCAATATATCAGGTTGAACATGGTGGAGTGCTTTATTCTTTAGATTAGTTTAGATGAGACTAATCTATGCGAGGAAATTAGATCACAGTAGCAAATGTAATAAACACACTAACAGAATATGAAATGAGCAATACAAGACAAAGGGCATTTAAGGACAACCTGGCAGACACAAAAAAAATTGGAACTAGAGCATCCTGCATCTTGTGGCATCTTGACTGCCATTATTAATATTCTTGTGCAATAAGCCTGTTGTTCTGCAGTTTATCTGATACACTTAATACACTTCAATACTGAGGTACTAAGTAATATAATACCAGAGTTATGTTTTGAATCATCTTCATCCATTTTATATCAGTGAGAGTGGACTAAAAACAGGATTTAGTGGGTGGCAGGTGTATTAGACCGCGTCTGTCATCAGACTTCACACAGGTCCCCGTGGCAGGCACAAGACTTCATGCAACTTTTCTCCCACATGCATCACTACTCATCAAGTCCTGTAAACAGACTGATGCCAAATCAGTGGCGGTGTCCCCTTCAATAAACTTGCAGCTGAGTGTAATTCAATAGCTCTCCTCTGCTTACTGTGCCTTTTAGTCCAGTTTAACACCTTAATGTGTGGAACATTACGCATCTGACCAGTCCCAGCCTGGTCAGATGCGTACATGAACTGATGAAGCCTCTTGGATGAGAGGTGAAACATCTTCCCAGACAAATAATCAAGTCCAGTTGTTTTTTCAATTTAAACTCCTTTAGGATACTATGACCTGGACAAATGAGAATATGCACAGGCTGAATGTGTGGAACATTTTCTTTAATGCCAACAGCCTTTGTTGACCTCTTCATGTTTCCTAAAGAGATTTAATATTTTTACAATTATGGACAAATGGGTTGAAAATTTGGTGTGGTTAGAAAGTGTGTTTGTTGACACAGTCATTGTACCCGCACTGGAGAAAACACAGTGTAAATGAGCCATGTCATTATCTTGGCATCCTGAGTACCTCTACACACTACTGTCCCCGCAGGGCTAGCCTCTATACACAGCTGTGTATGTGTGTGTGTGTGTGTGTGTGTGTGTGAAAGTATTTACTTACATACTCATAAGTCTGCCCATTTGGTCTGGCTAGGACCGGTCAAACGGGGCCCATAAGGCATAAAACGTCATCAACTTCACGCTGTCCCTTATTAACCTCCTTTGATGCTTTAGACTGATGGAAAATGCAGAAGCGGAGTACATACTGTATACATGTACACAGACAGACAGGCAAATACACAAACACACACACACGCGCACACACACACACACACACACACACACACACACACACACACACACACACACACACACATCTCCTGTACCTGTTCCCTGTCCATAAACAGGCACAAGTGGGGCATTTGTTTCGTATGTGTGAGTGTGTCTGTATGTGTGGCAGGCTGTTGTTAATGCTGCACTGACCTGGATGACAACAACATGAAGCTAATGGCTTAAAAGTAGGCAGCTTTCCCAGGCAATTACCATCAAATCTCTCCCTCAGCGTGCAATCTCATCCTCTCGCCACTGTTTTTCCATTTCACCCTAATTTCTCTCCCTCCTTCTCAGGTGCCTCTGGCCACCATCAAGGTGATTTATTCCCCAGGCTGGATCTGGGCATTGCTCCATTTCCTCTTTCTGTCTTTCTGTGTCTCGCACACCCACAGCAGGGAAAAAAGTTAGGATCCCTTTATGATTGACTGGAAAGCTAGCTATTCGTGTCTCCACTGTGCAGGAAAAGAAAAGAAAAGGTGTAAGCTTTTACACCAAAACCTGATTTTGGCTATAAGGCGGTTACAGCCACCAGTGGGTGGGACGTTCACGCATAAAGGCGGGGTGATGTTCTCCACATAAAAGGTGCACGCAGACATTACATGACACTGAGGGTGACTTGTCTGCAGCTGAGGAACGCATTCCACCGTGCAACAGGATTTACTTCAGAGGTGAACTGTGAGGAAAACTAAAGATGTTAGTTTTTGCGCCTGTTACTGTGGAGATTTGAGCGTGCTGACATCAAGACAATGCCTCAAGATGAGAAGTCAAGTGTGAGGTGGTTTCTCTTACTAGCGACGTGGGGAAGGCGTGAGACAGTTGATTTTAACTTCAGAGAAATCGCACGTTTCCACAACCGCATGAATAGTGCAGGAGACGCGCATCACGCCACAGGATAGTGGAGAGGACAAGGCGCACAGGAGCGCACAGGTAGGTTGTATCCCATCAACAAAGGTCACAGCATTTACAAGAAAAATGTGTGTGTGAAATTACATTTAAATTCTTGTTTTTTTAGAGAAAGATATAGCCGTGAAATATATTTTTACCATGGTTTATTTTATATTATTTGGAAAAAATGTCAGATTTATTAACCTCAGATGTAATGAGCCAGGCATGTGAACCATTCAAATGGCTCTTATGACTGTGGGCTACAGCTATAATAGTTTGGTTGGACAAAAATGTCAAGCGCGACTCAGTCTGAAGGGGACAGGGGGCTTTGGGTGTTTGTTTTCTCAACAACACGCTGCGGGCTGCGAGTCACTCCCGTGTTTTGGAGCGCGGTTCAGTGAGTCTGCACGTCACACCATTTATTTTTGCAACACATTTTCACAGCCTCGGGTTGCAACGTCTGACCGATGGCAGTTGTAAGATTATTATTATTTTAGGTCACCTGCAAGGCACCAGGTGAGGACATGTAAAGGCCATTCTCTCAATGGATGAATTAATTATTAGATTGTGGAAAGGCAGTTTGTCAATGCTCTCATCTGTTAATGTCTAGTATAATACATTTATGTTTATTTGGGATACCTACATAATCTTGAGGTTCCATACAAAACATGAAACAAGGTTCACAGTTCCATCCACTTACAGCAAACAGACAATTAAACCTTTTACAAGTGACATAAAATAAAGTGAAAAACAAAAATGTTTAGTCGACTGCCCTCATTAAGATCAAGAGTAAAACATTCTCCAAACACTGGCCATCAAAAACAAAGCAAATGTGGTTGATGCTATTTGCAGTCGCATTACAGTAAAAGGTATGGAGAGAAATGATTTGCAAAAGGAGACAGATCCAGAGGCATTCTACTGAGGTTGACATTTTTTCAGCTTGAGCTAAAATTAGCCGTTTTTCCAAGTTCTTGAAAGGATTTGCATGAATGAACATGAGCAAAGTCAGAGCAGACATCTGTACTGTCAATCGGTAAAGTCACCCTCTTAACTCCTGTTGAATCATGATGCACAGTGGGATGGAGCTTTATGTCGTGCAGCCTTTCTTTCCACAGGATTCTGTTCTCTTGTTTTACCACACATGTGTCCAGTTTGGGAGACAAGTGACAAGAATAACTTCCTATTGTGAATCAATCTGAACCCCAGCAGAAAATTGATATCCAAAAATTGTTACCTGTTGCAAAATTTGTTTGGCCCAAAAACCCACTTCAACAGCGTTAATGTTAACATCATGTATATTTGTCACTGTTGCACTCTGGCTCTTAAAGGGTGTGGGCTGCTTGGCACTTGACTCCAGGCAATTCAGTGGAAAGTTTCTCATCTCTCCTGGTAAATATGGGCATCTTGCCCAGAGAGCACCTACGGATGTGTTGTTGAGAGTGTGTATGGTGCAAAGGGTAGACTTTAATTCTCTTAAGCAGAAATCCAGAGAACCTTGGAACACCCACAATACAAAACTTTTTTCTTTTTTTTATATAATACAATATATAATAATTGTACATGTCTGTCTTTTCTCTCATGAGCTATTTCCTACTGTAATCCAAATGGACATCAGCAACATGGACGGCTACAACTGGACGTCAGTATCAGAGAATTTCACCATGTCTTCCTCAGAGCCCTACCCCAGCTCCACTACCACTATGTACTCAGACCCGCCCGCGCCAATGCCCTTCAGTGTGGTCACCGCAGTCATCTACACCATCGTCTTCATCGTGGGTTTTCTGGGTAACACGCTGGTCATCTATGTGGTGGTCCGCTACGCCAAGATGAAGACGGTAACAAACATGTACATCCTAAACTTAGTCTTGGCGGATGAAATCTACATCCTGGGAATTCCCTTCCTTGGCACAAATAGTGCGCTTTCCTACTGGCCATATGGGGATTTCTTCTGCAAGGTGTGCATGACTGCTGACGCCATGAGCCAGTTCTCCTCCACCTTTTGCCTGACAGTGATGAGCATTGATCGCTACCTGGCTGTGGTTTATCCTATTCGCAGTGCCAAATGGCGGAAGCCCAAGGTGGCCAAGGTTTTCAATGGCATGGTGTGGGTTGTGTCCTTCCTGATTGTGCTGCCGGTCACCATCTACTCACATGTACAGGAGGAGTTCAACACCTGCAACATAACCTGGCCTGATCCACATAATTTGTGGTCCATTGTCTTCATCCTCTACACATCCATTCTGGGTTTCTTTGGTCCCCTCGTTGTCATCAGCCTCTGCTACCTGCTCATTGTCATCAAGGTAAATGGGCAGATAAACTTGTCCTATGGCTTTTATTGGTGTCTAACTCCATTTTTGAAATTTCTTGTGAAGTTCGGCTTAATCTCATAAAGCCTTTTCAATCAACTATGTCATTTTCAGGTGAGGTCGGCAGGTGCTCGTGCAGGCCTGACTAAGCGGCGGAAGTCGGAGCGTAAGGTGACACGCATGGTGGTGATCATCGTGTTGGTGTTTGTACTTTGTTGGCTGCCCTTCTTCATTGCCAACATTGTCAATCTGATTTATATCATCCCTGAAAGCAAAACCACCGCTGCAGTCTACTTCTTTCTGGTCATCCTTACCTATGTCAACTCCTGCGCCAATCCAATCTTATATGGCTTCCTCTCTGACAACTTCAAGCAGAGCTTCCAGAAGGTGCTCTGCTTCCACAAACCAAATGGTGTTGGTACTATAGACCAGATGGGAGGTAGACAGACTGCACCCAAGGTAAACCCCAATCCTATTTTCTCATCCAGAAATCACAAAGAATGTAAGACAGACATTTTCCAGCAGGTATACTATATACAATAAAATTTTGAATTGAGCCTGACCCAAAATAAGTGCATTAAGCCCGGGCCAGATAATTGACACAATTTTTGTCCCAACCCAGTCCTGAACCCAGAGAGTGATATTTTAATGATGCAACTTAAAAAAGAAATGTGGAAACAGAGGGAGACATAATAATTCTGCATTTTCACTGAAATTCTAAAAGTCATTCCAGGTAACGTGTTTCATAGTTAAATTTATACTTCAGCACCATACCCTAAAAAAATCTTCACTGCATATGTGCTCAAGTGCCATCAGCAGCCCCCATTGTCAGAGCACTTCTTTTCTTCAGTGTGAAAATGTGACCTCCAGTGATGAAGCCCACATTAGATAACAGACGGGAAAGAACTGAACCCCAGGTTATATCCCTCAACAGTAACATTTTCAGGGTTTTCTTGACTGAAAATGGAAGAAATCAGCAGCTCAAGTCAACGTTTTCTGTTGTTAAGAACATCAATGATAGCCTACTGTTTCTCATTATGTCTGTCTCCTTAATCTCTGTGTAACCTATGTGGCATTGTCTCACCAGTCTCTGCAGATGGAGGTTGTTGGGAACCTTGACAGTGAGCCTTTGGCTTCAAAAAAAACAGTGAATGGCCAGTGATCGCTATAACCCACCATGTACCAGTGCACAAGCTACCATATGGAACTTGAACAATTTACCCCGGGAACTTTTATTGATTGGTATGTCCTGTCTTTATTACTGATCCTCCCTCTCTGATCGGGACATTTCTGGAGAGGATCAGAGGAGTAATGCTGGAGAGAAAACTACTTACAGTACTCATTATCAGAGCTCTGCATTTTTGGTTGTAGGCTACTTTATGTCTTTGTACTGTTACACAGTTGACTGCAATGTACATTAGCATTAGTTTCTGTAATGATGTATGATCTCAGCACAATAAGAATATAGTCATGAGAGTTTTAAATACTGTAAATTCTCATATACTGTAGCTCTAGAGAAAACCAGGCTTTTATTGCAGTGTAGTACACTAGAGATAAGTATTTTTGGTTTCTGAATCCTTTTTTCTTTTTTCTTTATTTGATCGCGTTTTAGTAAGAATCATTGTGTTCTGATCTGCTTTTGGTATGCTGCTGTTACTATATATTCAAAACTTCCTATATGTTTACCTGTTTGCCTTGAGAAATTCACTATAATGCACATTTCATAGCACTAAGAGACGTCTGTGCAGGAGGTATTGAGTTGAGTGCAAGCTAACTAAACAACAAATGGCCGGAATTAACTGGGGAGTGAGAACAATATTTCTGTTAAAGCAACAGTTTAATGTTTTGATAAATAGTATTATAATCATTCTGTTGGTGAATTAGATAAGAAGACTGATAGCACATTCATATCCGTCTGCTATATATAAGGCTACAACCAGCAGGAGGTTAGCTTAGTTAAAACTGGAAACGTGGGAAAAACTAGCCCAGCTTTGTGCAGCAATAACCTTCAAAGCTGGATAATTAAGATCTACATCTCATATGTTGAAGTGATAAGAAAGACAAAGGAAAGGCTAAAAGTCTTTCTTGGTTTTGCCCAGTAAATTTCTGTAATCCTTGCTGGTTTCCTGACAACTACTCGCAGCCAAAAAATAGTCTGACACATAACCCCTTTAAAATGGCAAATTGTTGTAGAGCTATAATGTGTCCATTAGTTAGCTCTAGGTAGGAGGATTTAATTTGCGATGGACAGAGGTTAGTGCTATACCCCTGTTTCCACTAATTATGCTAAGCTAAGCTAATTGTCTTCTGGCAGTAGCCTTATAGCTAAATAAACAATGAGATGAAAAATATATTTCCAAGCTTTAATCAAGTGTCCCTGTGTTGATTATTCATTTATTGCTTGTTATATGTTACAAATGTGAACAAAAAATAACTTTTTAGTATTCTTTAGAAGTTAACTCCTGAGTAGCTTGCCGATACGTCACATTACTGAAGTTAAGAACTTCTGTTTCATTTTGACTTTAACAGACAGACACACGAGTGGTAACAATCTTCTCATCTAAGTCTCTGCTAGAAAGAAATCAAGCATATTTCTCAAAAAGTCTAACTAGTTTTTAAGACTCAGAGCAATAAAGTGATAGAGTTAGTCCTGTGGAATGTGCATTTACCATGTGAGCCATCATAGTAGTGGTGATTTCAACTTGATTAGTGATTTTTTTTCTTCTAGCAGACCTTAATTAAACATTGTGTTTTTATTCACGCCAGGTACGACCCCAGCTATTATTTCATTTTAAACTCATCTGTTGTTCTTTTTTAATTTGAGAATTTACAGTATTTGATTTGAACTCGTATAACCAGAGTGATAACTGTAAAGATGGTTGAAATATTTTTGATGGTCATGATTATATGTCAGTTATGAGTTGTTTGTTTTTAGTGGGCTTTTTGTGACATTTTTACCTTAATGTTACAAAGCTGTGAAAAATGCCTTGAAATAGCACAGCCAAGTATTGTCCTCTAGTGGGTTTTCTCTCACCCTGCTAAAAGAACATCTGCTGGAGTGGATAACTTGGTGGAGTGACAGAGCATATCATTGTCCAACCTCAGCAGCATACTTTATCATATCCGTACTCGCTGTTTAGCTGCTGCACTGTGAGCTTTGACATGTGATACCAAGATCATTGGGAAGCTGCTGGACAACACTGTAGCATCTCCATAGTTGTAACTTGAGTCACGCAATGACCATGTTAACGATGTTTGGTGAATTTGAGTTCATTTGAAAAGCTACCCTGTAAGATGGAGCTGTGGAAACACCTTACAGCAGACGCAGGATTTATTCTTAATTGTAAACACTGTGACTTTTAATATGATGGGTAATGTTGAATATGGGGTTTTGAGTTCCATGACATCCTTACACACAATAAAAATGCTAACATGGTTATGTTATTATGAATATAATAAACGATCGAGTCTGTTATGCATGCTCGCCTTGCATTAATCCAACACAGTACAATGTAAGGCTGCTGACATGTGCCTGCATGAAACAAAGCTCTTTTATGTGTATCCTACATTTATCTCATGAACAGACAGTTGATGTTTATTGTCGCTGTGATCTATAAATGTTATGACAGGTTTATGATTCAGACTGAAGCACTTTATTTCCAGTCGAAATAGGAAAGTGGCAGCTTTACACTTGAATGTTAATGTCTCTCAACATAAACAAATTTAGTTTCATATTTCTGATTTTTGTAAATGAAGTTAAATAAGCATTTGGATGTATTCTGTGTTATGGCTCTGGAACATAGGTTTGCCACAGAAACAAAACATTTACACAAAAAAAAAAATCAGAGAAGCTGATGGCAGCAAAGTTTAGTGAGACAGTTCAAAGTTTCCCTGTGAGCTGACTTTTTATTTGTTGTTAGTGGTGGGTTTTTGTTTGTTTGTTTTTCCGCAGATTAAAGATCTAGCAACGCTTTCACTGTTACTTTAATAAATGTAACCATATACAACCAGTTTGGAGTGCACATTGTTTAAACGATAGTAGTGTTGAAACAATAAGTCAATTAATCGATTAGCCAATCAACAGAAAATTATTTGGAAACTATTTTTATTATTGAACAATTGTTCCATCCATTGCCTTAAATGTAAGGATTTGCTGTTTTTTTCAGTTTTATATGACTGTAAATTAAATAACTTAAAACGAGACATTTGAAGACGTCAACTTGAGCTCATGGAAACTGGGAAACGTATAAACAAAATGAATTGACAAAATAATCTGCAAATTAATCACTAAAGAAAATTATTGTTATTGCAGCCTTAAAGGATAGATTTGGATTCTTTGAAGTCTATATTTATGCATTGCCATATTGGTCAAAGAGGTTTCGGTCACTGTAATCTCATCTCCTTAGTGGTTATTAAGTGATCTTTTGCCAATGAAACTACACTTTCAAAGATGGGGAACAAAATCCACAAAATCCACAAAAATGCATTCTAAAGTTTCGCCAGAGCTAGTATCTGACAATGTTTCTTTGCTAAGACACAGCAGAGAGATACATCCTGGCAGTAACTTATAGTTTTGCTGGAAAGACACAGCAACAACATCTAACCTACACACAGACACCACTTGATTTGGCTAAATGAGACATACTGAAGCCTCATATGAGGCAAGGCTGAACTTCAAGAATGTATTTTTGCAAAGAATGCAGTCTGTCGATTTAGTCTGTGTTAACAATGAAGTCAGACTGGGAAAGTGTCATTTATCACTAAATATATAGCACAAATGAGCATACAGCATATATACCTTATTTTAAGAAAGTTCCCAACTTTGAACTTGCTGAGCATTCACATGTGGAAGACACACAGTAAAAGAAAAAACATCCAACTGAAAACTACAAGAAATAAGACAAAGGAGAAAAAAATGATTAATAAATCAATCTGCAGCAGGGCTGCCCAAAGCCTGTCACGGACCCTAAGCAAAGTTACCCCTCATTGCCCATCCTAAATGTATATTATTGCAAGATGAGTTAAATTTTTAATGTGCAAATGTGCAAAATGACAAATACAGTTCAAATTAAGCAAAAGAAAATACATTTTTTTCCAAACAAAAGTTGACTTAAATACAAAACCTCCACTGTCATTATTGCCCAGTGTAACCAAAAATGAACAGCTACTATAATAAGTGAAGTGTGCTTTCACAGGCATAATAATCAGGGGGTAAATAATTTGTTGGTACTGGATGTTTTTTAAAGGAGGAGCAATTCAATCTACATTTTCTGCATCAGCTTTGGACACTCTGTGAACTGGTAACGATGTCAAGGCCAGTACATGGTGTAAATCTTTGTCCATAGACTGATTATCACTTGACATCTGGAAGAAAAAAAACCTCATTGCTGATTGCTGATTTCTTGTTACCATTTTCATCAATCTCATTAAATCACATCTTGATTAAACTGTGAAATGACTAAGTATATTTAAACTATATTCCTGTTATACTCACACTACACAAGTATTCCTCTTACTGCTTTATCATTAGAGCAATAAAGGTAGCTCCCATATTTCCTGGATTTGGCACATCTGGACAGCCTGTATGCTCAGGAACTGCTGCTCTTGTCACCGCTAACTGCTGGCCTGGGGAAGATGTAGATGAGTGCATGCAGTCTCCATGACACCTGCTGCTTCTTTTCAACTACAAGTGACAAGCTTCACTAGAAGGATGTAACATGCAGGAACATGTGTAAAGGTGTATTTCATAATCGCTGCACAAGCACGACAAACAAGTAACCTCTCACTCATCGACACGTTGTTCCACAGCCCCACAAGAGGTCAAAAACGCCTTTAAAAGCTTTCACTTTTAAAGCTATAATCAACTTAGGTTGATGAGCACAGTAAGATTCAACCAAGCAGCAAATGTGCGAGCCACAAACCCAAAATAAAGAATCAAAATGGGAAAATGTGGTACATTTCAACCAGGTGTATTTCCCATAAATGTGGCCATTTTGACTCAATGGGTCATGCTGACTTTTCACTCACCACCTCCACCGCTGTGCAAAACAATGTATATCGGAGCAATCTGCGCTAACCACCTGCAACTTTCCTGTTCAAACACAGAGAGTAGTAGCCTGTAACAGCCATTACGGGATCCACATCCACATCAGCTTGCCGGCTCTCAACTAACATAACCATTATACTATCAGATCATTGTGTGTTGAAGAAAATTGTGTGTATTGCTGGTAGGTCACACATATTGCAATCCCCCACAGAGTTGTCATCACTTTTTTTCTGACCACATGGAGAGCTTAGGAAGGTTGAGATGACAAATCATGAGCACTGAATAGCTTTTTTGAGGGTTGTTTGTGGCCAAAGGGCCTTAAGCAGCTGTAGTAAATCTAATGTATGCCTTGGGCCAACTACACATTTTTGACTACACGTGTGGTGCCATTAGCGTAATTTGGTAATTAACAGAGTCCATTGTTGCATTGAAGGTTATAATACATTAATTTAAACCAATACAAATATACCACCAATACAAATTAATTTAAACCAAGTTTCTATAAACATTAATATTTTCTTCTCCCCTGCAGGTTTTCTTCTTCTACTGCTATGGTCTCTCTTTTCCAGTGGTCCTTAAACTCGCCTTAATGTCTTCCTTCATTTCTCTCTATAGCAGCTTCTGTATTTTCTTTCTTAGCCCTTATTCCAAGTATGTTTACTGACAACCTGTTTTTGTGGCAGGGTGTGGGGGTAGAAACACACCATGTGCCTTCTGCAGCTTCTGGTTACCTTGGCGTTTGCGGTCATGCGTCTTTTGTTCCATCGACCTCAATGTCAAGTGAAAGAACCAGTATTATTATCAAACAGAGGAAAGAGCACATTGCAGTAGAACTGTTCTGTGACTCTGAGGCAATTCTGAGAAAAATCAGCCATGAAAGGGTAACATACACATTAACGTTTTGTTACTGAATGAAATAATGAATGCAGTACCTACATACACATAAACACACATACATCCACTTGTTCTACATTTTCCTTGTTGACTCCCATTGTATGTAAGACAAACCTAGGTGTTTCTATATATGGGCGGAAATGGCACTGATTTACTCATCTCATTCATTTATAATACTAAAAGAGAAAACAGTTACACTACGGCACAATTCTGCTCTGCTAATGACCAGGCCAGTTTTTGACTTTGGTTTTAGAAGGTCTGAAGTTCTGCAGTTTAGGGGGCGCCCCAGTGGCTCACCTGGTAGAGCGCGTACCACATAGGCTTAGTCATAACCGCAGCAGCCATGGTTTTGAATTCGACCCGCAGCCTTTTACTGCATGTCATCCCTTCTCTCTCTCCCCAACATCCCTGTCTCTCTCTAATTGTCTCCATCACAATGAAGGCAAAAACGTTCTGCAGTTTAGAGACAACACAGTGGGGCTAGTTTTTATTAGCCTTGCTTGCTGGTTTATTTGTACTGTAGGAGAAGGTAAGAGATGATAAGGTACACAATAATAACTGTTCCTGGAAAATTGATACAATCCAAATAACTGACTCTATTAAGTCAAATAAAGTCTCATACAAACATCATTGACAAACCAACAGTCAGTGTGATCATTCAGATATTATTGGAACATCCAATAATCATCGGCTAACAGTAAACATGCTTTAAGATTAGCCTGCTAGCAATAGCAGTAGCTCGACTACTCCCGTTCTTTATGTGACCTTCTCTTTGCAGGTCATCGAGAGTCTCCCAGGGTTTGAGTGATTTATTTCTGGAAAATAATTATTTTAAACCCACATTCCTCCCTACTTTATGTATCAGTTCAAAAATCAAACTAAGGTCCTCATTTGCTGCTGAAGGCAAGTCAACATCCGCAGTGCTCTTCCTACAGATTTAACATCAAAACAACATTAAAAAATTAGTACATAACTGTATGGCCTGCAAGCAGCTCAAAAGCAGCTCTTTCGTCCACAGTGAGTCCGGTTAAGTACAAACAAATGTTTTGCTCAAGGAAATACAATGTACAGCTTGTTAGTTGATGGCAGAAATGGCTAAATTCATTTCTCTATTTTAGTACTAAAGAACACATACTGCAGTTCAGTGATTTCCCCATTGAGCACAAGCCCAGAGGTCCAAGAGCCCAGTTTGATGAGACTGATAACATTTATTGATGGAAAGTCAATGAAA